GATGCTAGAAATCGATCCGAGTTCTCGGACCGAGAAATATATAGCCAATTAACTTTCCAGATAACTAAATTATAAATTAATAATTACTAAATTAATTAATTAATTAATTACTAAATTTATTAATTTATTATTATTTTGCTGAGAAGCAATTATAGCTAATGTCGAAATACGCTTTCGATCAGCCATTTTGTACAACACATATGTAGGCACAACACACATGTAGTATGTCACATTGAGCATTCTTCCATGGCTGTTCGAAAACTCCTCTCGATACCAACTCCACTAACCCCACCAAGCCCATCCACCACAGCCACTTTCCGTCGTGGACTTTCAGTGTTTTCGAACGCACCCCTGTTTGGCCCTAACTGGCGCACGGGATGAGGGCTCACAAAATGGTGGCACCAATATAAGTTATGGCTCCTGCACGCAGGACGCGGTAATGCTTGCCGCGCGGCGGAAATTCGCGCGACAGCCAATCAATATGCTACTTTCCGTAATAACTTTCAAGTTCTTACGGAAAAAAAACATATTAATTGGCTGTCGCGCGAACTTCTGCCGCGCGGCAAGCATTACCGCGTCCTGTGTGCAGGAGCCATTAGAGTCAGCGTATGAACTAGAAATGCCCGATTCTGAATCGATTCGATTCTTTCTCCAAAAATAGGCTTATTCATGTTGTTTGCACTCTTCACAATTTTCGTATTTAAAACTAGAAGTATATTGGAATGTTTCGAAGAAACAAAAACGAGACAACCAACTCGATTGTTTCTTCCAAGCGTCTAATTAGACGTCCATCTCTTTTTAAAAACGAAAAGTATGAAACTTGCAAGCAACACGAACAAACCTTTTTCCCTAAATTTATTAAAGAAAGAATCGAATCGATTAATGGTTCCTGCACACAGGATGCTTGCCGCGAGGCGGAAGTCCGCGCCACAGCCAATCAATATATTGTTTTTCCGTAAGAGCTACAAGGTTGTTATGGAAAGCAACATATTGATTGGCTGTCGCGCGAACTTTCGCTGCACGACAAGCATTACCGCGTTCTGTGTGCAGAAGCCATAAGAATCGAGCATCTCTAGTATTAATATTGCCGTAGTTCCTCACGCCACTTTAGGCTGCGTTCAGATTCCACACCCGGGTGTATTCTATTACTAGAATTGCTATAGTATATGTAACATATACTATAGTGTTTCTAGTAATAAAGTGCACCCGCATAAAGAATCTGAACGCACCCTTACGTGACAATTTTACGTGAGATAATGGCGACCTTACGATTCGACCTTACGATTGACGATTCTCAACGTGATTGGCCAATTCTTACGTTACGTCTTAAGGTACCTTTACATAGGAGCATTGAGCGTCGAGCATTAAAGTGGTAGCCAATCAACGTGCCATTTTCCGCAAGAACTATAAGTATACTTCCGGGACCTGATACGTTGATTGGCTAACGCTTTAACGCTCGACGCTGGAACGCTTCCATGTATTGGCACCTTTATGGTTACTGTTACGGAAAGTGTGTGTGGCCAGCTTTAAGGCCAGCGCACGAATATTGCCGTAGTTCCTTACGCCATCTTAAGCTGGCTACACACACTTCCCGTAACAGTAAAGGGACGTCTACATTGGAAGTAAGCAGTAAAAAGTAGGAAGTAAGAATAAGAAATTGACCAATCATAGTTGATTATTCTTCTCACATTCGACTGTGGTTGGTCAATTTCTTACTCTTATTTCCTACTTCTTGCTATTTACTTCCAATGTAGACGTCCCTTAAAGCGTCTTCTACAATGGCAGTAGGTGTAGTAGTAAGAAATAAGCAGTAAGCAAATTGACCAATTCCAATCCCACGTTTCAAAAATAATCGACTGTGATTGGTCTACTTACTGCTTATTTCTTACTACTACTCCTACTGCTATTGTAGAAGACGCATAACAATAAGACGTAACGTAAGAATTAACCATGTTATGAATCATAAAATCATAAAATCGCCATTGTTATGAATACTCGATCGTAATTGGTCAATTCTTACGGTACGTCTTATAGTTACTATTACGAAAAGTGTGTATCGCTAGCTTTACGTGATAACCTTACATTAAAATGAAAAAATATATATATTCTTTCGTAACGTAATGTAAAGTTTTCATGCGTTGCCGTACGTTCAGCTTACGTGTCACGTAAGGTGGCGTAAGGAACTACAGCAATGCTCGTGCGCCAGCCCTAACGTAAGACGTATCGTAAAAATGGACCAATTACAATCGAGTATTCACAAAAATGGCAAACGTACAATTCGACGATCTGAAAGTGATTGGTCAAATCTTATAGTACGTCTTATGTTACTGTTATGTCAATTCGTGTGCGGCATCCCTTAGGGGTCATCTACAATGGAAAATCGTACGTCGTAGCAGTAAGAAATTGACCAATCATACTAGAGTTTTACAAGAATAATCGATTGTGATTGGTCAATTTCTTACTGCTACGACGTACGATGCTCTATTGTAGATAGCCCTTAAGGGCCTTCAAACACAAATTGACATAATAGTAACATAATACGTACCGTAAAATTTGACCAATCATGTTGAGAATCGTCAAACCGTAAAGTCGCCATTTTTGTGAATACTCGATTGTAATTGGTCCATTTTTACGCTACGTCTTACATTACTGTTATGTCAATTCGTGTGCGGCGCTCCTTAGGCCCGTTCTACAATGGGTGCTTTTCAATTGCAATATCCCTAGAGACTTTCATGCACACGGCGACACAAGTTGCATTCTAGAGACAGTGAGTTCTTTCCAATTGCTTAACACATCTTGACACACACGTCCACAAAACCAATTTATTCGTCACATATTATCTAAAATATCTTGTAAGATAATATGCAATCAATAAGCTGGTTTTGTGTAACACAGTGTACGCAACTAGAGAGCACCCACTATAAAAGAGATTGGACATGATATCCACCATGTTTATGCTAAATCTTACGAGGGAGAAAGACATATACGCTATTTCACTTTAACTTATAGTTTACTCTTTTCAGCTACACTACTGCACCGGTGTAGCTAAGAAGAATAAACTATGCGAGGTTAGAATTTACTAATATGGAGTATTTCCGATAATACCTCTCCGAGTCATTTTCCTAGGGCAGAAATAAGTTACAGACATCACCATCTACTACTATTAAGTGATTTATGACAACCCAAAGCTACCTAAAGGGACGTCTACATTGGAAGTAAATAGCAAGAAGTAGGAAGTAAGAGTAAGGAATTGACCAACCACAGTCGAATGTGAGAAGAATAATCAACTATGATTGGTCAATTTCTTATTCTTACTTCCTACTTCTTACTGCTTACTTCCAATGTAGACGTCCCTTTAATGCTGTCTCACGACTGCAAGCAGTGGGTTAGGCAGAACAGTACCGTGACAAATACACGAGATAATAATTTTGTAAAATTGTATTATAAAATCATCAATTATAAAATCATCAAGAGTTGTTTTCTAATAAAATTTTATTTATTCTTAATTAAACTTATATAACCATTAAAATATATATTATATTTTTGAAATATTATCCTAAAGTAAAAAGTCACACTGTTTTAATCTATTTGCAAGTATTGTTTTTACATGACCCGTGCAGGTGCAAGTCCACAATAAATTATGCCATTAGGGTATATTGATGACAAAACAAGAAAGATTTGTTTGCAGAGTTTGTTTTAAATTGTATATAATTCTACAACCCTGATAGAAATATCAGTAGGTATTATAGGCGGTTTCTAACTCAGGTCCTCCGAGGGGGG